TGTTTGGGAGGAGGGGGCTTTTGTGGGGTTTGGGGTGTTTTTATTTTTTTTGGGGGGGGGGGATTATGGGAGAAAGTATTCTGCACAATGGTGCGGAGTAGATGAAGCAACATATCACAGGCAAGGCTGAGACTATGTTACAATGGGGGGGGGGGTGTTTTTTTCCTTTGATGTTTAAAAATGGCCCCAAACCTGTGTTGAAGCGTCGGGAAAGAGCATTTGCGGGCCTCCCCGCTTCAAATGGGAGGAAACCTGAGCTGCTAGTTTTCAGAGTGCGGGGACTCCGCAGGCCCGGAGCGCTGAGCTGCCAATTCTTGACTTTAAAAAACGCTGGTTGAATTCACACATTGCACTGAGCCCAAAGGGGCATTGTTTGATTGGGGGGTTGCATGTTGTGGGACTCCAACTTTTAAGGTTCTTTTGCACAAAAAGTACTTTAGGGCAGTGTTTCTCAGCCTTGGCGACTTTAAGGTGTGTGGACTTCAGCTCCCAGAATTCCCCAGCCAGCCATGCTGGCTGGGGAATTCTGGGAGTTGAAGTCCGCGCATCTTAAAGTCGCCAAGGCTGAGAAACACTGCTTTAGGGTAATGCGTGAATCTCACTGCTCCATGCTCGCTCCTTTGCCACAACCTAAAAATCCAATATCCATATTAAGAGCAATACATTTATTGGGCCAATTCAAAGGTCATCCAAAAGAATTCCTTATTTGGCCAAAAGTTACGAAACAAGTGAAGGAGGGGAGGAAGGAAACGCGATTGGATGTGGGACCGTGAAACCTGCAGAGTCAGGAGAGTTTTCATGCACGTTTTACTTCAGGACTTTCTCCTGGCAGTAAAAATACTGGTTTTGGTGCATGCTGTCGAAGGGGGGCCATTTCCAATAAAATATTTATATTTCCCTGTTGTTTGGGTTCACTGATGGCTGCATGATGTGTCTCGATTATTAAATTATTGGTATTGTGTTTTTTTCAATTATTTTTAGGTGCACTGAAACCAATTAATGGGTATTTATTTATTTATTTATTTATTTATTTATTTATTTTCATTTTTGCCCTGGAAGCAAATTAAATTAATTGGCAAAAACGATAGAAGCAAAGATTGTATCTAAGTTTGCAGAGCACTAACCAGGTTTGGGTGGTTCGGGGTTCAGTATGTGGAACGTATCCTTAGCGATTTTTGCAAACCAGATGAAGCCACAAGAGCGTTTATCAGCTTGGGCATTGCACATTCTACAAACACAATAATGTTTTTTTTGGTAACCTGGATTTAGTATGTTGTCTGAGCCTAGCCAATGAAGAGCATCCTTCAACCGTCCATCTGAGGTCTGTTTTTCAGGGTTCAGCTTCGTTGTGTGAATCTAACAATATAAATTACCAGTGTTTCTCAGTCTTGAGAACGTCAGGATGTGTGGAACTTCAATTCCCAGCTGTAAAAAACACATGGACCAAGTGGGGGAGGAAGTTCCAGACCCATCCCTGAGCCCACTTCTGGGCCAAGGGACCTTTCGGGAGATCTGGACTTCGGAAATGTTGATCAGCCCTTCCTTGGTGAGTGTGGGGTTCAGCCTCAGCCACTTGGAGA